AATAATCAGTTTGCGTTTCCTTATGGTCTGAGGATTGTTCAATAGCTTTTCAAAGAATTACGTTACATTACAAAAGATTATTGTCATCTTAAAGCATCTCCGTTTAATCTTTTCGGCGCAAATGTTCCATTATTTATAAATACCGACGACATTAGAGCAYAATTCGAGTCTACAACTACTTTAACAGCTGCAATTCCGTACATTTTTCCTTTGGAAAAAAAAATTAATGTTTTTTTTAGGATAACTATACAAACAYGCCCTATATTTTTTCTTCGAGATCTAATCAGGCATATACTTCATGTGTACTCAATGTTATGTACTGAACTTATCAGTGAAATCTCTAAACTCCGTCAATGCCAGTATGGTGCATATGACCTCTCGATGGTATTTCAAGTTATTTTTTTTTCTAAATAGTTTACACATGCGTTATCGAATGAGATTATTTGATGACATAAGTGTTTTCACAGCGTGGTCTTCGGTTTAAAATCAACCGCCATCCAAACATGCCTCGTAGGAGTCGCATTCTTGAGCATGCGCAATGAATTTTAACGATCGTTGATATGGTATATTTTCTCTTCTCGCATCTAACATCCCATTAGATTAGAAGTGCCGTGAACTATTAAGCTCCTGCTACGGTGTTCTCACACGAAAAAGGTAAACGTACTTAAGATCTGTACTAAACATAACATATATGGCTAAGCCATTGAGAAGATATAGCAAAAAAATGTTTTGGAACTGGTCATTTTCTCGTTGAGCTATACATTATTTTATCCTTTGCTTTTTACAACTTTGGACAAAAGTGGATTTCACAATAATGGTATATCGTGAAGTTTTTGTTAATTTAGTTTGATAAAGAACCTTTAAAAAATATGAAGGCTTTGATCAGTTAGGTAAAATATATTGTAGTTGCCAGTATATAATTCTGACCTTTCCAGACTCAGGAGCACAAACGAAGGATTCCGTTCTCTATAAATGTCCTATTTTACTGCTTCAAAACATTTTTAAAATGAAATATCATTTGCAGATAAATGAACAGTAATGAATTTGTTATAATCACGATTTATCTGAGGGGAGAATTATTAAGTTATCTCAGAATATACCATATCTAATCCACAGTTATTCTTATTTAGTTTAATTTAATTGTTATAGACACTAATTTATTTTCCCCGTGTTTTCACACTCTTCACGAAAAGCTGATAACAATTGGTTGAAACTCGTTCCGTTAGAGACGCCATGTTGGATGAAAGCATTCTCTAGTCATGTACATCATTTGTAGATTTTTTCAGCATAATATTAGGAATTCAAAGTCATACACATGGTAACACTACCCCACGAATACAAAAAATATCTATACGAAAACCCATTAGGGTGGCTCGTCCTTACAGTTATTTGGCGATAAAAAAMAAAGGACTCCAAATCGGCTTGCTTGGCGTGCTGCGCTAAATCTACCGCCAACAATTTTTGATAACTAAAKCACTTTCTAGTCAGTTCTGGTTGTCCATGCTATCTGAATGACGTACAATTTTTAGAAATACCAATATCATAATGATTGAACATTGAAAAACACGACCGGAATGATTGAGTTGAAGACAAAGATCTCCACAGAGGCTCCACATTATTTGCTCGAGATTAGTTTGTGTTGAAGGAAAATTGTATTTAGTGAATAAGGAATTAGTTCGAGACAATTCRATATCATATGTAGGATAAGTGTCTCATGCATGGATTACTTGGACTATATGGCGGCCATTTTTGTAGGGGGTAAATTAAAACGTTTTTCTTGTCTGTTCTGTCTCTGTTTTTGCTATTMATTAATTTTAATTTGACTTTAATTAAATTGAATTTTAAACGTTCATTTCAGAAAAAACTTGAAAAAAAGTAAGAGATGGACAAGAAAAAAAATATTATACATATCGGTCGCCATCTTGAATCGCAATGCATTATGGGCCCACGTGCGAAGCCAAACAAAATTTATAGCCCTAAAAATATTTTAATTACAGACTCCTCTGTTCGCTGAGCTATTTCTCACAATTACTAAGTAAAACATTTTTAGTTACACTAGTTGGTGTAGTGACGATCACAGTAAAAACAAAACAGCAAAAAATGTTTTATGCATGCCACCAACTCATTCTAAGAAATATCATGYAATGATTTCTACAAAAATCTAGCATTTTATAATAATTTTTCTTCTTTTTAAGTAAGAGGTTCAGTGCTTAATCCTTTTAACCAGCTCTATAAGCTCTTGTAATAAAACAAAAGACGGTTAATAAAGTTTCTAGGTAAATATCCGAAGTATCATCAACATCGCATAAAAAACTTGATTGGGATCAATCTAGATACTGTCTTTATAATCAAAGGATATATTAAGACAAAAAGGTTTGAATGAAAGTCATTAAATTTGTATGGAGGATAATTTGTTTTGACTTCTCAAATTGTGCCTACGTAGGTACTTTTTTACGTTTTTTTTTTACTTTTTAGTTTTAGCTGTGTAGAGTATTAGCATAGTTATAACTATGGTATTAGAAAGAAGAGAATATATCAAATAACATTGGAGCTAAAATAAACTTCTTCTCAGGCAGTTAAACCATTTCATTTCTTTATGTACTTATAGATAAATTGAACAAAACTGTGTCAGAAAAATTTAAGTTAAGGACATTCATTGYCTTTATATCGTTATAATGGTGCTAATAACGAATTTCCGTTCTAATATCCTCTAAGTCTGATCTACTTTAAACTTGAAATAWAGTAAAATAATTCCTGATTAACGTAGGCAGGGCGACATGATAATCACCTCTCGTAGGAAACAAGTCTTCACGTTCTCTAAACTTATTAAAATTCTGCCAGTCAAATACAAGCAATAAAAAAAGTTATTAGTTTGTCCAAAAATGGTCAAAATAAAAAAATTACATTATAGTCATTGCATTATATACTGACAGACATTTCGAACTCGGAAAGAGGAATTCCTTGATCTCCCTATTCTGGACTGAAGGCCTATAGTTGTAAAGACTTACCTTTTTGGTAAGTAAAGAGAGAGTTTTGCGCTATGTGGTATGTAKAGCAATATTGGTGGTGTCGCAAAAAGGGACGATTTTGATGATTTTTGGCTTTCATTACACGCCAAAGTGTAGAAAACTGAACTTTTATATCATAAAATGAAACAACATCAATTTGAAAACAGATATAGAAAACCTCATTTTAACTGTAAGAATTAGAAATGTGGTGTTTTGTTATTCCTAGCGAGGAAAATAATKAAAAACACCGGACTGAGATTCTTGCTATAAACATAAGTATCCAAAAAGCGCAGTATTGTCCGAAAGTATTATTCCAAGCTATTGGAATTTTTGTTGAAGTTTGACGCGTTTGCTGATCACCATCAACACCAAGCTAAACACGAAATACAGGAAGTTGTTGGACACTGACAACCTTTTAAAAATCACATTTAAAGAAATTCATAACAACTATAGAAATAGATACGATGGATTTATGAATTAATAAAGAAACTTGAAGCTGTATTTTTTCGGCATTTTTTGAATCTCTCAATAAGGTAAAACAGATATATTGTTGTATAGTTAGCTTGTCTTTGGCGACCGAGTGTCCGGGTTTTCTTGGTGCTATTCAAGTTTATGATGTAAAGATTTATCTAATTACAGTATTCTATTGAGAAAAATGAATAAAGACTCGTTATCTTTTATTGCTAACGACCTCAATAGGCTTCAGTCCAGCAGGTGCCTTCCGATCTTTTACAAAGTGCAATATTGTCTTACGGCCGTTTGTTACTAAGTGGCTTCAATGATGCTAAACAAATAATACATCACTTAAAAGCGCTGGTGTTTACTCTCACTTTCCTTACGATATGTCATATACTAAAATATTTACAATACTGCCGAAAGATATTTGCGGGCATAGGACCTATGTTCATTATTCGTGAAGGCTATAAAATATTATTAAAATCCTTAAAAAAAGTATGAAAAAAAGTATGGATTTACAAGCAGATTTAGAGAATAACTTTACAGGGATTTTACGACATCTTAGTAGAAAATTTTAAGATTTTTACAAGACAATATTAGTACTAATATCAAAATTTCCACGATTAAAATAGGTTACAATATATTCARAAGGTTTTACCAAAGCGTGAAAATATATATAATATTTTCCCACTTCAAAGGACTTCAAAGTGAAATCATGATTTCTATATGTAGTTGTCATTTTCTGGGGTGAAAAAAAAAGAAAGATATAACGCCATTCTGTTATTCTTTTGCACAGTCCTCCATTCATCATCTATTAGGCCTTTTAGATTCTTACATCATCACTTTCGCTTTATGGATATATTAAATGTTATTATTGCATCTTACTCGTCCAGGCATAACTCTCCATGCATTTTTCATCCATTAGTACGTCAAAAAACTAATAATATATTTTAAAAAACACAAAAAATGCGCACCTTTTGAAGTGGCACCAAAAGAAAAACAGATCTCTTCATTCATGTCGATTTTGGTCTTTAGAATTTCAAATYTCTTCATACTTTTATTTTGTTAAGTGGTCAGGAGATGCCTCGGGAAACTTCCGAAAACTAACTCGAAAAAAAAAGTAACGAATGCACCTTTCAAAGTGGCACCACAAGGTCTCCTTTTTCACGTTCTAGTGTGCTCTTGCATTTTTTTACGACACTTCACGCGTGCTGATTGGTTGAATATTGTTTTCAATAAGAGGATAAAACGCGCAGTGCTGAAAAAAACATTAGTTCTGAGCGCGCGAGATCAGTTGTAAGGAAAGGATGATTTCCGCTAATTTTTAGACTAAAAAAATTACAAATAGTTTTTCATTGTATGTCCTCTTTTTGACACACTCTTGACGTCATAAAATGTTCAAAATTTTGCAGTAAACCCACTTGAGTTTTAACATTTTTAAACTATGACGTCAACGGTATGTTTCAATAACAAGACATAAAACCGTGCGCAATTTGTCGAATTTGTACTTTTTTAACCATATATCATTTATTTCAGATTATCATTAAAATGGAATCCAAAAAGCTTATGATCCTTCTCGTCATCTCATGCGTCTTACTGTCAGTGTCGGTCGACTTCACCAACGCCCAGGGACTACGATGGGGCCGTCGGGAATTCAACGATGACTATGCCGATGCCAAAGCATTCAAGGAATGGCTTGAACAGCGAGACGCCAACAAGAAGAGGGGTMCGTATGTAACATTCTATATGTCTTTCAGTAAAAGAAATGACTACTCACTAACACGGTCATCCTCAGAAGACTTGAACGTTCTTCTGAGGATGACTATGTCGGTTAAAATTTTAGGAAAAGGGTTATAATCCAGCCAGAAGAAAACTCAGTTTTAAAAGGAAATGGAGATGTTTTAAAATTGTTGAGTTGTTATTATCTTATAAAAAAGCATTATACAAATTATATTATATTATCTCTGTTAGAAACGCTTAGGTTTGCTGCTTTTAGCTTGAGATTCAAAACTTTGTATTCTCGTGTTCTTCCACAAAATCTAAACACGAAAAAAATTTCTAATTCTTAAACAAAAATGTCAATGTGTTAACTCTACTTTTTTTCACAGAATACAAAGCAAACAGGAGTTGAACACGGCAAGATACTGGARATGACATTTAAAATTGTAGTAAATAAAAAACAGCACAAATAAAACACAAACTTAATTCAATTTGTAAGCCAATAATGATTTGAAAATTAATTAAAATTCATTACGGCAACTGGTTATATTTTTGTCTGTAGTTCTTAACATAAACCATAAAAGCATCATGGGACAGTAGTCCAAAACTGGACTCTCTTTTGTCAATTCCTGCATTATTATATGTAATAGTTAAAATGGGCGCTGAAGAAAATCTGACCGTTGAGTACGTTGATTCAAATATAGTTTTCATTTCAAAGATAAATTCAAAGATGTTTCAGTTCTGGACTACATGGGAAGAGGAATTTTTTTCACTTTTGATATGAAGGTCTTTCAGAGATACCATTAGGAAATAACTGTAATAAGAGTTTGCGACTTCAAAACTAGAAACAGGGGAAATAGGGAGACGATGTCCCAGGTTGTACAGGGTGGTAGGGAGGGGAGMGGAGGTGGAGGGGTTTGGAGAAAGTGAGCCAGAAAGTGATCAGTTCTGTGCAGCCATCATACTTAATTGTATATGACATAACTGATTAAATATTTTATTATTGAGGAGTCTTTCATGGAAAAATAAGGCAAAAATGACATTGGTGAACATCAGTTCCCAGAAAAAAAGATTTCATCAATGAAAAATYAGCTTTTTTAGCATTTTGTACTATAGCATAGTGGTTTTACAGCATTTGACTGCCTGAAGTGCTGAGGTTCGCATGGGGTATTACCAATGAATGTTCTAGGAGTTTTGTTTATGTTTGCACTGTTTTTAAMGTGCTAGGGTCCAGTGGACCAAGTGAGTGCTCAGTCGAAGGGTGAAGCCCTGCAGTTGTTCTTTCTAGCTAACCATACCTCTCATTTTAATTTCACTATTTGTATAGCTTTAACTTATTCCTACATACATCCTTTTTTATAGAAATAAGATAAAAGTATTGTATGATGTAAATTTTGGCTTGATTAGCATTACCATTACAACGTTTTGGTTGTAATAGTCTTCCTCAGGTTCACCTGCGCCATCTTGAAAGGCAGCCTTGCCTTTGCATGGAAGGAAGATGAGCATTGAGTGTTCAATGGTAGATATCTGTGAATATTTGTTTGCATGCATGAAAAAAGGCTTCGATCATTGCTATCTTCCAAGATGGTAGGACAATTTGGACCTTTCTGTGCGTGCCAAATTGTCCGATGGGTTGCTTGGATGCACCCCTTTGGGCCTGTTCTACTTCAGAGCTTTTAAGCTTTTAATTCTTAAAAGAATTCTGAGTAGAAATAAGGCGACCGAACTCCGAATAACAGACTTATAGTAACYACTTACCTCATTCGAAAGTTGATGCCAATCGAGAATCATTTGGGTATCTTTCTATAAGCACTTTCTAAGCGTTCTGTCATATAGTGGCAGCCATTTTGAATCTGGCCTGGCAACTTGGCAAGAATAAACAGGAATCCCAATCATAGCAAGCTAGAGAAAATAACTTTTTCAAAATAATTTTATCTCTCAATTGAACTTAGAAAAGATTATTAAGATATCAAAAATTCAATAGATAATTTCAACAACATCAGATTCAATATCCTTTTTAGTTTTGCAAAAAGACTTCTGATTTGCATAAATGGCGGGAAGCAACGCGGCCGCGTCTCCGAACACCAAAGAGAGGTTGTGTCAACATGGAGACGACGAGATCTGTGAAGCCATAGATTTTATGGTCTTTCCTTCTCTTTTTCTCTCAAAATTTTGTAAATGCAGGATTATTTCAAACAAGATGGTTCAAGAAAAACATTTTCAAAGACAGAGAAACAACAAAACWTYTRCACAACAGAGCGATAATCTGCAACAGTTCAGGAGCGAATACACGTGATATATCGAAATTACTAAGGAAACAGTGCTATAATTGCAAAGAACATGATATTTTATCATGTCAAAAAGTATTGGCACGTGCATGTATCTTAAAGGTAAGGYTGACTGTTTGTAGTTTTAAAAGTTTTAGTAGTTTGTATGCAGAAGCAGCAATGGAATGTAGTCAGCTGTTCTTACATAAGTTAAACAAAGACAAAACTTAATTTGAACTTTCTTTATAAAGGAAGGTTCCCTGGTAATCAAGCTTTTAGTATCTTTGTTAGACTTAACCCAAATCTGGTTCATTATTATTTTTATCATTATTATTTAAAATCGTATGAGGAAGTGGCTGATCCCAAAACTCGGAAACTCGGAGTTACAGCAAAATCTTGCCTCTTTGATATCATATCTATATATCATTATTATTTATTATTATTTTTCTTTGTTTGGTCTTCCTCTCCTGTCACTGCTGGAATTCAATTTTGTGTTTCCTTGTCTGTCATCATGAAATTATTGCTTAATGATATTGTGAACATATGAGTGCAATATGTACTGCAGTATATATATACAGTACAATGTAGTAATTGATTTGTTGAAAATTGTCAATCATTACTTAAATGATGTAATGGCTGAAAGTGCACTTTCAAGCCCATATATTTAAGAAATATAAAACAGTGTGCGTGTCTCTGTCCTCTGATATAAACACAATGGGAGTTGATAAACACAAGAGAAGCAAGCTTAGGAACAAGAGCATTGCGAGTGTTTCTCTTGCTTATTGAGTGCTTTTCAACCCGATTCCATTGTGTTAATATCATTAGTATCAGAGGACAGAGACACAAGCGGCCGTTTTATGTTTCTTTTATAATTTTTTTCTGCGTTTTTCAAATGAAAAACAACTTTTGCCAGAAATTCATGTCTCTGTCCTCTGATATAAACACGGTCATCAGCCAATCAGAGTGTGTGTTATATATCAACATTTTTATGAATGCATTCAAGCATATAGCCTGCATGCAGAACATGAATCATTATATTCTCAAGTTCCATCTGGATTGTTTCGTTTAAGGCCCCACCAAAAATAAATGTGAGGGCTGTGTGATGGGAGGTTATGGTTCAAAGATTTTGAAAGAAATTTCCTGCACAACTTGAACAAAGTTTTGTGCTGGTTGAAGTCACAATGAGCTATAGAAGAATGCATTTGATCCTTCTTCTGTCATATAAAATGACAAACCATTTGTAACATACACAACATATGTGCCGCTTTTAGGTTATTTCTGTCATGGGGTGGGGAGGGGGGATCATTTGTAGGTCACCTCGGGTAGGGTATATTTCTCAAAAATGTCCTTCACTCCTGCACCTACTAACTGGATTTGACAATGCCGTATGGTTGATTAGAATTGTCGCCTAATAAATTGTCAAATAGATATAGTGAAATCTGGGTTGTTTCCAGGGAAACATGGAGATTTTCCAACAGTKTCTACTAGTATTAGAAGTGTGAAGGTTTTTGGAGTTGAGTGTAAATTTAGCTTATGTATTCAATATTTTTTTAAGCYAGTGAAATATCATCCAATTGTTTCTTATATCTTTATTCCAATAAACAAATTATACATTAGCAAATAGATTTGGATTCACCCAGACATTTATCTTTTCARAGGAAAGATTTCTCATTCCCAGCCATTCGACTTGAATTCTGAAAGTAAAGAATGATAGTTTTCAGCAATGACTGTGTAAGATAGACACTTGATTTTTTTCTGAGCTTTCTGATCAAGAAGTACTTGTAGCTTTAGCAGACTTCTTCCACTTGTGTGCAAATTGCTCATGTCAGATTTTATTTCAATTCATTTTAGAATTGTTCTTTTTATCTGTGATGTCTTAAACTGAATAACAATTGTTTAATCTTTCAAAAATTGGTTATYAACAGCCAAATGRATATTAAAGGTCATCWTGGCCTAGACATGTCTGGCKATTATTTTGAGCCCTGTTCTGTWCAAGTTCTTACTTTTGTTTTTCTGGGCYGATCTCTTATTCCATATCCATTTTAGAAGGGCATCTCTGTCCTGGTCTTCAAGTTCTCGGCCCCATCGAAGATGCATTTGAGCASACGATTCTTCAACACATACTGATAATAAGATGCATGCAAAAACTGCAAAGAGGATGATTTTTTTGGTGTCCATTTAAGCAATCTGTAATATATAACAACAGATGTATTAATACTTAAGCAATAAACAACGCATTATTGTGCATTCCTGGTGAAATAAATTACGC